ACCAGACCTGGAGGTGATCTACATGGCCTGGCAGACTTCTCCTGACCCACCCAGCTGCTCCCCTCAGCAGTGTACTTCCTCAGTTGATCTGTTTTGCTCCCTGCACCTCTGGCTTGTACCCCAGTTCTGTATGCATAAATAAGTAAATTAAAAAAAAAATCAAGGAGAATCTGAGAAGCTGTGAGAGCCATGAGGAGCCTAAGCAGACATGATCATTTAATATAATGACCATGTGGTATAATGTGGTATCCTAGATGTGGTTCTGAAAAAGAAAAAAGATATTAGGCACAACAGTAGGAAATGTGAGTGAACTATACACCTCAGTTAGTAATGTATCAATACCAATTCACTAATTATAAACAATGTACAATACTAACAAGATATTAACAGAAAATTGAGTGTGAATGTGGGAGTAGATGGGAACTCTTCTATCTTCTCAAGTTCTCTGTAAATCTAAAATTGTTCTAAAAATAGTCTACTTAAAATATATATGTAAGAAATGTGAGTGTTCTGTCCTTTCAGAATGCAACTGAGGAAAGTATCATAAATGTTATAATATGATAGAGATTTGAACTAAGAGCTATGGGAATTCCATAAGGACTTTTCAGAAAAACTATAATCTTTTCTACTAAGCCATAAATTAAAGTATCCAGAAATACCTATCAAGTTTGCCTTGCTCAAAGCTGGTATTCAAATATCTAAGAGAATGATGACATAGATAGTTCCCTGTTGTAAAATGTGGTAAAAACTTGTGGTAGATACAGTAAAGATAATTATGAACTAAATTAAGAGAGATAAATGGTGGTTAATAATTCCTTGTACCAGCTTCCAAAATGGTGCAAGCAAGATTAAGTTTCAATTCTGCCATACCTCCTTTATTATACAAAAGTCAGTGAAATGCCAGCAATTTGTCCTTTTGTTTTGTTTCAACTACACTAAGAAAGAAAACTGTTATCTTCCAATTGGTAGTAGGGAAACAGTTATCCTCAAAAAATACAAATAAAAAGGCTGAGCATGTGACCATTTCTGGAAGGTATAGAGTAAAAAGGTAACTGGATGATTATCCTGTTTAAACCTGTCCATTTTGGAATAAGGAGTACCTCTAATTTATTTAGTTATCACAACAGATTTCCTCACTGAGAGTCCTTTATCAAGATTCATCATGCTAATTAACAAAGCCCTGACTATAGACACAAAGTTAGCATAACTAAGGCGGTAGCACTAACTTTAGCAGTGGGACCTTCATGTAAAGCTAGTTCACCACCTGGGTTTTTGATTACTGCCTGCTGAACTCTTTTAGATTAAATTACAGATACAACACCGTTAATTTTCTCAAAACAATATTCTGGTTTTATGACACTGGCAGTTTGGTTTTATTTCTGGGGGTTAATATGAAAGCTGTTACTATGAGACCTTGGATACATCATGTGACTCCTCTGCATCTTGGTTCCCTTGAAAATAGTGGCACTGGGTCTTTTATTATTATCTTACTTTCATCCCTGTAATCTGAGTCAGTTGTGTTTTCACTGACATACAGGACTAAATAAATGATGTAGAGACACAGCTTTAACTAGTTTGATGGTCAAATTATACACACCATAAAGAACAGCCTGTTAGCAGTTCAAATGTTAGCATTAGGTGAGAATGTTTCGGGTTACATGCATCATACCTTATAAAGTATTCTATAGGTATGAATCACACCAGTATAGCGCAAGTTTTAGCAGAAACTACTTAAAAACAAAAGCCAAACAAACAAACAAACAAACAACACTAAGTAAAAAATATCAGTCCCTGAAGGGGTTCACCTCATCAATTCTCGGATCTACTAACTCTCTCCCTTTTCTCAGGGTTGGTGTCAGTGCGAATGGTCCTCTCCCTACAGTCAAAAAAACGCGACACATCTAATTCACGTTTCCCATAACAGTCACCATATTTCCTCGCACTTCCCACTAGGTTCGTGTAAAAACGCCAACTGTAGCATTTTCTTTTCAAATTCTCTCGAATGAATTTTTAAGCTCCGAGCATTTGTGGGGACGCTCCAGGTACCGCCCCACAATGCTCACTCCCTGCAGGAGTCGCGGGGCCGAGGGGCAGCAGGCTCGGCGCGGCGCGCACCTGACCCACTGCTCCCAGAGCCCCGCGGACGCGCTAAGGCCAGGGGCGGCCGGGCTGCTTCCTCACACTGGCCTCGCTCACGGCTCCCGCAGCCGAGGGCGCAGCCAGAGGAGCGTGTCAACCGCCGCCTGGCCGTCACCTGGCGCCTGGCGTAGGCGTGTTCGCTCCAGAAATCCCCAGTGGTCCGAGGCTCCCGTCCTTCCCCGGGGAAGAATCGCGGGTCCAACCCGGAGCTCGCCCCCGCGGCACCCCAGGCGGCTCTCGGTGTTCTCCCGCCTTTCGTGCGTTCTTCCCCACGCCTCAGACGCGCGCTCAGGCGTCCCCGCACCTCGCTCCCCTCAGCCCCCACGGCCGGCGCCTCCCGGGCC